TTTTAATAGAGATGTGACAAGACGTGACTGCTCCAGTCGTGTCACTGTGACAAATAACAGTGATTTTTTGGAGCAGTTTCAACTTAGTTGGCGGCCGAACTGCTAATTATGTTAATGCTACATCTCAAAATGTCATAATCGCAGTCCGCAGTCACGGCCGAGGTAGATTTTCCAGTTTCCAGCCTGCCCTCTGCAGTAGCAGTTTCTATTTGGCGGGAGCGCAATGCGATTTATAATATTATATATAATATTGCATTTGCATCACTTAGCTCGAGTTTGGTCTGCGCTGCATCGGTCGGAGCTTGAAGCGGGCAGTGACAAAATGTCACTGCTACTTGAATGGGACTGAAGCAGGCTGTGACTGTGACAGAAGAGTAGCAGTGACAAAGTCACATTTTCTGGAATCGCAACCCATCTCTAAATTGTACTAAAACTCCCATTTGTGAATATTCTAGAATCTAAATTGAGCCTTAGCAGTTTCAAAAGGTAATTTTTGATACTCGAGCCATAAAAGCTTAATATTTCCATAACTGGCTCTTTTAGAGATCATCAAAAATATGAATTTTCAGCTTATCTAAAGCTATGATCTAAAATTGAAATTGAACTAAAGAAGTAAACTGTATTTTCTGGAAGTAAAATTGTGTCAGAGCGGTTAAAAAAAAGATTTTCCAACTTTAAAGATCCACAATTCAACTTGAGGACTTTCCTGGAATTAGAAAATTTGACTAGAGCATCATGAAGTGCCTATTCCTGGAACTCCTAGAGCCAAAATTAGGAATAGGAAGGTAGGGATATCCTGGTGGCTTTATTTTTTAAAGTTTGAGAAACCATGATTCAAATTAGGAGGAAAATACGAAATATATTTGACACATTAATACAAAAGTGATTAATCAATTGACATTATAGAGACATACACTATGACATACACCTTTTTAAAATTTAAAAATAAAAATGATTGGTCTAGAGGCCCCCACAGACTACGTTTTTGCGTTACGGTTTTGTTCGACGAGCAAATCTGGTCCAGATAGTTGCATCGGTTTTAAATGCCAGCAAAAACGACAATTTTTCGAACACAAACTTCGGTTTTGCATCGATTTTGCTCCACCTGATTTGCTCGTCGAACAAAACCGTCCAACAAAAACGCAGTCCCTTAAGACTTCCATAAAGATGTAGAATGTTCTTCAACACCTTCCCTCATTAGAAATCTTTGGTAGAACAAGGGTTTTGTCATTATATCAGCAACTTGAGTTTCTGTAGACTTTTTGTGTACACTCAAAGTTTCTTCTAAGACAAGCTCTCTCACATAATAGAAATGTCGAAACTGAATGTGCTTGGTTATCCTGTGGTTCTTAGGATTTTGTGCCAAACGAATAGACGCTTCTATTGTGGAGCATCCTGTTTTTGTATCCTCTCCATGATCAGCATCACTAAAACCTCGTAGGTAACCTCTTCTGGGTCTTGGCCTGTAAGTGATTCCATAATTGAGTGTTCCTTGAATGTAACTGAAAATTCTCTTTACTTGGACAAAGTCTTTGTGAGTTGGATTTTTCAAACTTCTTGACGCCCTACTGACTGCGTATGAAATGTCTGGTCTCGATCCTGACATCAGGTAAAGTAATGCTCCAACAGCCTCTCTTTATGAAAAATTTCATATTTCGGTTTCTTCTGAAGGAGAATTATCCTTAACAATTGGAGTTTTAACGGGTCTGCAATTGTTTATAGCAAATTTTTTCAACAATTTCTTGGCATATGCATTTTGATTTATGATAACTGATCCATTCTTTGACTTCATGATTTCCATACTCAAAAAATATGCTGCAGGCTTAATCATGACTTTAAACTCTATCTGTAGTTATCGTAGAAAATATTTTTTAATTTCTTCATTGCTTGAGGCTAGTAGACCATCGTCCACAAATAAAACTAAAATAAGAATTTCTGTTCCTTCCCTCATGATGAAGAGACATGGATCAGCATTACTCTATTTGAACCCAAAGGGTAGAAAGAAATCCGTTATTCCTTTGTTCTAACACCTAGGAGCTTGCTTAAGTCCATATACTTAGGCTCTGTCTTAGATGACAAACCCTATCTGTACCATCATTGAAACCCTCTGGCTGTTTCATGTATACTTCTTCTTGAAGCTCACCATTTTGGATGGACTTAAATTTTTACTGGCAGATAGACTCAAAACAGATCGTATTGTAGCAAATCTAGTTACTGGGCTAATTGTCTGATTATAATCTTGATATTTTTTCTGTGAATAACCTTTTGCGACTAGTCTGGCTTTGAATTTATCTATAGAGCCATTTGGATTGTGTTTTAACTTGTACACCCATTTATTTGGTATAGTCTTCTTACCATTGGGTAGTTTTCCAAAAGTACAAACACAGTTCTGCTCTAAAGACTCTATTTTTCTTCCCATAACCATTTTCCAGTCATTTGCTCTATTACTTGATATAGCTTCTCGGTACGTAATTGGCTTATTTATTTCAATAATGTCTGCAGTAACCATCATAGCAAAATCTTCAAACCTGGCAGGCTTTTGTATCTGATTTCTATCTCTCAGTTGTCTATTCGTTACATTTGGGACTTCTTCTGAAATGTCATTATCTGGTGATTCTATTAAGAATATTAAGGTGTCAAAAAAATTGTGATTCCCCGAACTATCATCTTTTTCGCCGTATTGTCTATTGTTTTCTTTAGTTTTTTGTTTAGGAGTAGGTATCTTCCTTGCTTTTGAGAATCTTAAAATTGTTTTGCTGAGAATTTCCAACATGGTCTTCCAACAATGGCAACGTTGAAGTTATGAGTTTTTCGTCGAATATCACATCTCTCGATCTGACTAGTTTCTCAGATTCTTCACACCAAATCCGATATCCATCATTTTGGTCACATCCTATAAGTATGCCTTTTACTGCCTTTTTATCAATTTTCTTTCTTCCTGACTTTGGTACATGGGCATAACAGGATGTTCCAATAATTCTTATGTGTTTTAAAGAAGGCTTTTTCTCATACCACAGTTCAAATGGAGATTTTCCTTCGATACTAGAATTACCAGTTCTATTCAAAATGTACGCCGATATATTTATTATTTCAGACCAAAAAAACTTGTGAAAAATCTTCATTAGTACCTATGCATGATGGATTTAGCAGTTTCAACAATAGTACGATTATCTCGCTCTGCACAACCGTTTTGCTCTGAAGGCATTACGAGTCTCTGTTTAATTCCACTTTCTTGTAGAATTTTTCTTATTTGACCATTATCAAATTCTCCACCATTATCTGAGAGTAGCTCTTTTACTGTATGTCCTACTGTTTTTACTTCAATTAACATAATTGTCAGTTTTTCCGCAACTTCAGATTTTTCTTTCAGAGAGTAAACATAACGATAACGACTGAATTCATCCTTGAAGAGCACGTAGTATCTATAGCTACTTTTGGATTTTTCAAAAGGACCACAAACATCTGTGTGTACGAGTTCTCTGGTACCTTTGCTATTTTTTTCGTTCCAAACTTTTTCCTGTACATTTTACTATAAATACAACCCTCACATATTTCGCTGTCTAAAATCACTTTCAGATCAAACTCACGACTTAAAATATCTCTAATGTGTCGATTGTTTTGATGACCAAAGAGTTCATGGGATAGTTGCAATAAGTTATCATTTGTAATGATTTTGTCTTTTGATAACTCCTTTTACAGCTCATTCCACAGGGTCTTGAGCTTAGACGTGTGCGTTGTCATATCATCTTCAACTTTCTTCTTATAGTTGAAAAATTCTAAGTAAACATCATAGATTTTGTCCTCGACATTGCCATCAAAGAGCCTATTCAATTCAACCCACACTTCTCTTGCTGCAATTTCAACTGCTAACGAATTTTCTTTCAAAACTGGGAGCACCAACTTTCCTTCCAAAATATCAACTGCATTTGGAATATGTTAGAAGAATGTTAATTTTGTACTTTCATGTGGTTCAATTAGCTTTACCTCCTAGTAACTTTGCTTGGATCCATCCTTCAAAGTTCAATTACTACTTTTTTGTACTAATTCAGCCCTTGATATTCTTAATTTTTCTCGTCTCGTTCAACGCTCTGCTACCATGTTAAAGTTTGAAAAACCAAAATCAAATGAAATTCGCTCTGATTGGTTTGTGATTTCTGTGGACACAGACCTAAAGATGTAGAATGTTCTTCAACATTATTGACTCATACGACTACATTTTATCATTTTACTAGTAAAGATTTCCTTAAAGGCTTTCGGGAAATCATCAAAAGGTTTCAATTTCTTCATCTTATCAACGTGTAGCTCCTCCTATGGCATGATGTCTTGATTTTCATCTTTTTCTGGAGTTTCTTTGGTTGATGAAGATGAAATTTTGACAAAAAGACTCTCCATCATAAAATCTTTTTGTTGGTCTTCGTTCTTGTATCATCATTTACATGCATTTTACAACTTTACTTTATTAGTTGAAAGTTTAGATATTCTAGTAGGTTTATGTATCTCTTTAATAAAGGGCGACACCATCTAGTTAGACTTCTCCCTAGATGGCAGAATAGTTCTCCTAGTTATTATCAACTCTTTGGTAAACGAAACTTGATACAAAAGTATCTAAACACAATGTTTAAGGCAGCTTTTTTGTCCAGAGCCATTTGAAAGTAAGACCTTTTTTGATGAAAATCAGCTTAGATTTTCAATAAAATATAGCTTTTTAGTCAACAATTTTTAGGATAGCACTTATTTATTTTTTTATTTATTTTCTAATAATTCAACTTTGCTAAACATCTGTCCATATTATGTGGGGGCAGATGTTCGATCACCGGTAATATGGGTCCAAACTAGGCAAGAATATTAATGACTATACTAAAATACGTAATAGGTTTTGGAAAAGACATTAAAAAATATTGTAACATGAGTATTTTAGGCCGAAAAAGAACTAATTTAAATGTAAATCTTTAACCTCGACCTTTCCTCTTTATTACGATGTGAAAATCTGATGTTTTTAGACAAGGAAAAAGACGTCCATAAAGAAACCGAAAGAATCAGAAGACAAATCAACCTGGAAAAACAAGTCCAAGACGATTTGAGAAAAGAAATAGAAAATTTAAAAACCCAATTGGAAGAGAGCAAAATCGGTTTGCAAGCCGCTGCCAGATTGTCCGATCAGTTGGAGTTGCAAAAAAAGCAAAATAACGGCCTGAAAGAAGAAGGTAAATTATTGTAGTTTTTATTTTTGCATTCTATTAATTATAATTATAAGTTCATGCCCATTTTTTCAGTAAAGTAACCAAGTTGTATGCGGCCGTTTTTGAAATATCAGCTGGTAATTCTGGATAATACGAGTACTCCAGATTATCTACTGATATTTTCATGAACGGTCGTAATGGACCTTCTAACATCGCATTTTTATTATTCTACTTTTTTTAGTTTTTAGTTTAGATTATTTAGTTGTTTTTGTATTGAATTTTTACTTATGTAGATTGATTTTTTCTTTGAAAGATCTGAGTGTACTTGGTTCAATATAATAGTGTGTCTTATTATTCCTTCAATATCTGACTTATTATCTAGCTACAAATACACTCAGATCTTTATACAGGGTGACTGCTAAAAAAATAATGATTAAATCAATAATTACATCGAAACAAAATTTAGGAATCGCCCTGTAAAATAATTTTATGTTGTTTTTTTTTTTCTATTAATCACACACTTTTGCACTTTTTATTAGTTTTTTTTTTTAGTATATTGTTGAATTGTTGCACCTGCTTCCACCCACGCCCCACTAACGTTTTTTTAATCTCATTTGGTAACTGTGTGGTAGTTTTTTTTATGTATTCCCCAGTTACTCGATGGGATTTGCAAAACCTTAGTGTAACACGTTCACCGTTTTTTATTTTGATTTTGGTAGCTTTTGATTTGGCTTTTTTGTTTGTGTGTATTTTTTTTTCAGTTGATTTTGAGCCTCAGAATGGGGGTCAGGGCGTGAGTATTACATCAGGTACTGGTTGGTTTTGAAAGTAAGCGGTACCTGTGTAAGACTCGCATCTTGGCCTTACCTTAGACTGCAATGCTGACATAGAGTATCCTTTTTTTTTTTAAGTTTTTTAGTTGTTTATTTTTGTTTTTGTTATGCTACTTTCATAACAATAATTTGCAATTCTTATAAGTTTTTTTTTTATTGTATAATTTTGTAGTTTATTATTATTTGTATTAATTTCATATTTATTCCTAATTTTACTGTTATGGTAAAGGATTTTTTTATGCCGTAAAATCGATGTGAGCTTTACCAATCCTCTGGCCAGAAAAATATTCATTTAGATTTTGCCATGCAGGTATTAATGGTCTAGCTTTGATCATTAAACTTCTGTTCAGTGATGCCAGGTCTGGTGAAATTTCACCAGATCTGGAGATTTTATAAAAAATCTGGTGATTGGTGAAAAACTTTTTGAAAAATGACAATTTCTGGTGATTAAAATTTTATCAATTTTGAATATTTTTAACAATGGCATACACTTTATAAACATCCCTCGTAATGTATTAAAATTTTACTTCATTAACATACAAATTTCATTTGTTTGACAGAAAACCAAATACCCATAAGTAGTGTGTGAGGTCCTTTGATTTTTATATAAATTTGTATTTGTTCTTTTGATATATTTATATATGTTTCCCTTTTTATATTTCAATTTCTGTTTATTCTAGGCTCTTGTTGCTATTGGCCGGTTATTTTTCAAGTTGGCAACATGTATTTTGTTTGGCCAGTGGCGTTGCTTATGGGGGGTTTCAGTCAAACCAATCGAAAACACGAAATTTTTATTTTTCATATTTTCGAAATTTTGACTTTGCCAATTGATTCAGCGGGTTTAAATTAATCGAAAAAAAGTCTAACATCACTTTCAAAATGGCGATTTCAAAAAGCTAAAAAATCTTAATTTTTGTACTAGAAATTTTTTCAAATCTTGACAAGGTTAGGAATAATGGCCAATATCTTCAAAGAAATTTGTACAAATCAAAACAAATTATATATGGTTGGAAATAGCATTAAATTCTCTATAAATCGATGCTAAATTAGTTCTGATAACTTGAATACTTTCTGGGCAATCGGATCTCAAAGTTAACTTCTAGTCCAAATTTTATCAAAAATTTTCTCGACTCGATTTTCTCGAAAACCATAAGAGCTAGCGAGTTTAACTAAATTCCATTTTAAAGCCGTTATCAGGAGTTACATTTCCTGGAAATTTTAATTCAAAATCTTTAATATATTTCAAGATATGCAAGATCAAATATTTTGAAATAAAAATCTGGTAACCCTTTAAAAAATTCGAAATTTTTATTGTTCATATTTATCGAATTTTGACTTTTCCAATCGATAGAGCGGGTCTAAATGAGTTGAAAAAAACTCTAACATCATTTCCATCTCGATTTCAAAAGGGAAAAAAAATCAAAAAGAAAATCTCAATTTTCAGGTTTAAATTTTTTTTGAATCCTGACAAAGTTACGAGCAATTGCCAATACTTCTATTAAATTTTGAGCAAATCAAAATAAATTATATATGGTTGGAAAGAGCATCAAATTCTCTATAAATCAGTACTAGTTTGAATTTGATAACTCAAATACTTTTGGGGCAATTGAGCCTCAAAGTTGGAGTTTAGTTGAAATTTAGTCAAAAATTTCAAACTTGATTTTCTCAAAAACCGTAAAGGCCAGCGACTTCAACTAAGTACCAAGCGGATCTAAATTAGTCAAAAAAAACTCTAACATCATTTCCAAATCTCGATTTCAAAAAAAAAATCAAAAAGAAAATCTCAATTTTCAGGTTTAAATTTTTTTTAAATCTTAACAAAGTTAGGAGCAATTGCCAATATTTCCATTAAAATTTGAGCAAATCAAAACAAATTACACATTGTTGGAAAGAGCATTAAATTTTCTACAAATTAATGCAAAATTGAGCTCCATAGCTCAAATACTTTCCGAGCAATTAGACTTCAAAGTTGAATTTTAGTCGAAAAAGTATCAAAAACTTCAAACTAAATTTTTTCAAAAACCGTAAATACCAACGACTTCAACCAAGTACCATTTTAAAGCCCTCATCAAGGGCTACAATCTCAAAAAAAATTGATCCAAAATTTTTGACGGGTTTCAAGAGAATTAAGTTTGAAAATTTTGAAATTAAAATCCAAAGGTGTTTAACCTTTTGAAATAATCGAAATTTTTATTTTTCAGATTTTTTGAATTTTGACCTTTCCAATCGATAGAGCGGATTTAAATTAGTCGAGAAAAACTCTAACATCATTTCCAAATCTCGAATTCAAAAGGGAAAAAAAATCAAAAAGAAAATCTCAATTTTCAGATCTAAATTTTTTTCAAATTCTGACAAAGTTAGGAGCAATTGCCAATACTTCCATTAAATTTTTAGCAAATCAAAATAAAATATATATGGTTGGAAAGAGCATTAAATTCTCCATAAATCAGTGCTAGATTGAGTTTGATAACGCAAATACTTTTAGAGCAATTGAGCCTCAAATTTGGATTTTAGTTAAAATTTAGTCAAAAACTTCAAACTCGATTTTCTCAAAAACCGTAAATGCCAACGACTTCAACTGAGTACCATTTTGAAGCCCTTATTAGGAGCCTACAATTTCAAAAAAAATTGATGCAAAATCTATGACGGATTCCGAGAAAATTAAATTTGAAAATTTTGAAATAAAAATTCCAAAGGGAAGTTCATTTAAAATTTTAATTTTTCAGATTTTCGTCATTTTAACCTCCAATAGATAGAGTGAATGTAAATTAGTCGAAAAAAAAACTAACATCATTTCAAAATGACAATTTTGAAGAAAGATTTTTTAGATCTAAATTTAAAAAACAAATCCTGACATGTTCATGAGCAATTGCCCATATCTTCATTGAAATTTAAGCAAACTAAAACATATCGCATATCATTGGAAAGAGCATTAAATTTTCTATAATTCTGAGCTGAATTGGATTTGGTATAGGGTTGCCAGAGTGAAATATCTACAAATCGGATATACCAATCAAAAAGCTGTTAAAAAATCGGGACACTTTTTTTTTAAAGGAATAATTTAATATAAAAATAATACTGCACATTGAACAATCAAATTTCTAATAAAATTTAAAAATAAACTGCGAAATGTTCCACAGAAAGGGAGAGAGGTCTATGTCACGTCAGCACTGGACAAATTGGGACTTAAATATTAGTAAATGCTTCGTTTTGAAGTAAATACTACGTAGAACATACTAATACTTGTAGTAGTAGCAAGTACTTCGTTTTTATTCATATCACTCAATAACTTTTTTCTGACTTCCGAGACAGTGACGACCAGTGAGACTGAGGAACCAATAACCAGTAACTGGTACTTTTCCTGAAAAATGACAATCAAATTAGTTTTGGAAAATAATAAAAAGGTATATAGGTAAACAAGTAGGTGTATTTAGAAATAGATACGCATTTGTGAACATTAAAAGGGGTTTTCTTCTGCAACAGTGAGGTCAAATTTAAACAATAGGACGGCAATATGTACAGATTTAACCATAAGCGCAACTAGGCTCCAAATTTGAGGGGTGCTACAGTACCATTTTTTTTTTATGATGGGGTTTGATGGAAAGGAAATGAGACGCGTAAGAAAAGTTAGTTTCACAAGGGTTTCTACTTACGTCATCATTTGCCTTTTTTTTTGAAAAATAGGTTTTTTTATGTCTGAAATTTCAAACAAACATATAGTTCGTTGCATGGCATGAAGGTTTTTACTTACATCATCGATGACGTCATAATTTAGAGAAAAAGTTAAGTCATAGATTAATTCATAGAGCACCTTTGGAATTATTGTTTTGTAATACATTTTTTGAATTAGAATAGAATTTATTCAATTATCCGAAAATATATAAATAAATTTATTCTGGAGTGATTTCTCACTGGAAAATTTTGAAATTTTCCTCTAATGAGCTCTTCACTTTTCTGTTTCTCCTGTAAAAATTTTAAAATTTTCATGTTGCTAGTTTTCCAGAAAAAAATTAAAATGTAAAAAGGTGAATTTTTCCTTAATTTTGCCTAAATAAGTAAGTCAATTTTCTTTGAATTTTTCCTGGAGTGATTTTTCACTGGAAAATTTCGAAATTTCCCTATAATGAGCTCCTCACTTTTCTCTTTATCCTGGAAAATTTTCAAAATTTTCTCTTTAGCAGTTTTCCAAAA